GGGGGGGGCGGGAAGAAGGACATGGGGGGAGAGGATGTTAACGTGTCCCCGCACGTGGCTCTGCGCCTTGCGCGAGTGGATCTGCAGGACGGTTGTGGTTGGAAGCAGGGCGGAGAAGAGCAACGCGCCAAGGGCCGTGGTGCACGCTGTCACTGAGAAGACGAGCACCTGGTGGAGGGAGGGAGAGGGGAGTACAAGGGGAAGGAGTGGTGAGGGAGGCAGAGAGGGGGAAGGCACAGGGGCAGGGCAGCAGGGATGCTTTCAGGAGGATGCAAAGAGTGGCAGGAATAGGAGGGAGCAGCAAGGCGGATGCGTGACTTGAGAGCAGTATTAGGACCTCCTGTGGAAGATGGGGAGAGGCGAGGGGAGGAATTAGAAAGGGCGAGGCGCAGGACGAGGGATAGGGCACACGCGAGAGAGGCTGTGCCGAATAAATGAGCATGCCAACAGGAGCACATGAGACAGAACACACGGGCGTGCACACACGAGATCGCACATTCGCAGAAGCAGCTCAAGCCCAAAGGGGCACGACACCTTGCAACCGTCACCGCACACCCATCAGCATGCGTGAGCAGCGTGCGTGCGTCCATGCATGGTCATACCTTGTAGTCGGGCTCCTCCTGGCGGTGCTGCAGCAGCAGCGAGTAGATGGCGGACAGCTGCTGGTCCAGGGGCACCACCAGATGCTCCTGCCGCACCTGCGGACATGCAGGGAGGGGGGGTTGATGAGGAGCGGGAAGGGAGAGGTGACATGGAGAGATAGGGGAGGAGGGATGGTGTGAGAAGGGAGGATGGATGGTGTGAGAAGGGCGGTGGGATGGTGTGAGAAGGGAGGTGGGATGGTGTGAGAAGGGAGGAGGGATGGAGTGATAAGGGAGGAGGGATGGTGTGAGAAGGGAGGTGGGATGGTGTGAGAAGGGAGGTGGGATGGTGTGAGAAGGGAGGTGGGATGGTGTGAGAAGGGAGGTGGGATGGTGTGAGAAGGGAGGTGGGATGGTGTGGTGCAAAAAAGGAGTCACGTGTACGGACCTGGATGTTGGTGTCTGCATCTTCCTCCCCCACCACATCCACATGCTTGAAGTTGGGCCTCAGCACATTCGCTGACATGGCTTGCACCTGATGCACGCATGGCACATGAACACACAATCACATGCACAAAGAAAATACATGCACACACGAACAAGAAAGAAAGTGAGCACAGTTGATCAAATCTACAACAACACATCGACACACACAGGCCAGGCACGCAGGCAGGGCAAGCAGGCAGCGACAATGGAGCTCCGATTTACTCTTTGACCTCGAGCCACAGGCCAGTGGCAATATGCCCAGGTTCACCCCCCCCCTCCACACTTGTTCCCTTGGAATCCCCCCTTTCCCACAAACCCCCGGCAGTCCCCCCCCCCTTTTCCCCCCCACTCCCTCCCCCAATCCCCTCCGTATCACCTCGCGTGGCAGTGTGGCGGAGAAGAGCAGCGTCTGGCGCGCGGCTGGCAGCTGCGCCATGATGGCCCGCAGGTCCTTTGCGAACCCCATGTCCAGCATGCGGTCCGCCTCGTCCAACACCAGCACCTGGGGGGGAGAAGGGGGAGAGGGGAGAGCGGAAAAGAGAGGGAGCGAAAGGTGGTGTTGGGGGCGGGGAAAGGGGAGCGGCAGAGGAAATGAATCCCATGTCCAGCGTGCGGTCCGCCTCGTCCAACACCAGCACCTGGGGGGGAGAGAGGGAGGGGAGGGAGGTGAAAGAAGGACAATTGGAAGAAGAGGAGGAAGCAGAGCAGAGGAGGAATGCACCCCCCATGCCCAACATGCAGTCCGCCTCGGCCAACACAAGCACCTGGCGGATAAAAAAAAGGGAGCGCGGACAGAATGGAGCGTCAAACGCACGTCCAGCATGCGGCCCACCTCGTCCAGGAGAGGGGAGAGGGGAGAGAGTCTGAGAGAAAGGTGGGGGGGTGAAAGGAGGTGCATGGAAAGGAGATGGGGAAGCGGAGCGGAAGAGAAAGGTGCGGTGAACTATATGTCCAGCATGCTGTCACCTGGTCCACGACCAGCACCTGGGGGAAGGGAGAGTAAGGGAAAGCAGGAGAGAGCGGTACAGGAGATTGGGTGGAAAGGCGAGGGGAAAGGAGACGGAAGGGGTATTTGACAAACATGGCATGGCATGGCATGCGCTACCAGCAAAAGGAAAGACTGTGAGCCAGAAGAGCATGAGTAGGAAGCGGGGGCTTTAAGACGTCTCAAAACTAGGAGGGCGCTCGAAGGGAGTGAGAGCTGAGACGGGGAGCGGTGCGGGAGGAGGGGGAAAGGAAGTTGGGAAGCAAAGAGGCAGAGAGCAGACAGGAAGTTGGGAGGAGAGAGGCAGAGAGTGAGCAGCACAGAACCAGCCTAAAGACTTACATCCCTCCCGACCCACTTCCCTCAAACCCCTCTCGCACCCCTCTCTCACGCCCCTCTCTCACGCCCCTCTCTCACGCCCCTCTCTCACGCCCCTCTCTCACGCCCCTCCCCCCCCACGCCCCTCCCTCACAGCGCCGGTGAACAGCTTACCTGCAGCGAGTGCAGTCTTTCCTGCATGCCCGGCGTGTTGGCCATGTGGTCCAACAGCCGCCCGGGCGTCGCTATCAGCAGCTGCGAGGGCGGCGAGGGGGGAAGGGGAGGGCAGGGGAGGGGAGGGGAGGGGAGGGAGGGACGGAGACGGAGCACATGGGGGAGGGGAGGAGGGAAAGAGAGAGAGGAGCAGGGAGCAGATAAGGAGAGGAAGGGAATGGATAAGCTGAGAACAGGGAGAGGAGTGAAGGAAGGGGAGGTTAAGGAGAATGACTGCACAAGAGCATTCAACCCCCTGACTGACAGACAGCTATTCCCACCTCCACCTCTACACACATATCGCCCCTCCTTCAGATCGCCCCCTTGCCCGCACGCACGTACACACGACCCATGCTCAACACATCCCCTTCCTCCCTTCCTTCCTGCCGTCCTCGCCCACAGAACGACTCATCACTCACTTGAGCTGTTCGGTTCTCTTCGCACAACACTTTGCATGCATGCCCCAAAGAACGCCCCCCCCCATCCATAATATTCCCCCTCCCCCCTCCACGCAATCTCTGCCCTCTCTCACGTTCCCGCCTCCCCAACAGTCCCAACTCCCTTTCACCCGCCACCCCTTCCCCTCCCCAACCCCCCCACCCCCCACGCCCTTTCCCACCCTCTCTTCTCCCCTCTCTTCACGCACCTGCGAGGGGTCAGAGGCCAGTCTGCGCGCCTCTCTATTCATGGGCGTTCCGCCAATCACCACCTGCGCGCCAATGCGCCCCGCGCCCACCTGCGCCTGCCCCTGCGCCGCCAGCAGCTGCTGCGCCTCCCCCTGCACCTGCGTCGCCAGCTCGCGTGTGGGCACCAGCACCAGCGCGCGCACTGCCGTTCCGCCCTGGGGGAAGCGCGCGGAAGGGGGGCCGCTCAGTATCCTGTCGAGTGTAGGCACCTGCGGAGGACGGGGGTGGGGGGGGGGGGGGGGGAGGGAGGAGAGGGAGGAGGAAGAAGAGAAGGGGACGGGGGATGTCGGAGTGGGGCGGAATGGGCAGACATTGATTGAGAATGAAACCTTTGAATTGATCCCAACCAAGCGATACATGTAGTATCGTGGAATGTGATAGGGATGGGAGGGACATGGGAAACGGGAGGAAGGCAGAGGGAGAGGAGAGGTCGGAGGAGGTGCGGGGAAGGGAAGTTGTGACGGAATTGCGGAGGCGGAGGCGGAGACGGCGATAGAGGGATGGGGATTCAAGAAGGGCGGCGGCGGATTCGGGAATAGAGGAGGGCGGAAGGGAGCCTCACGGGTTGATGAGCGGTGAGGTGGTGACAGAGGGGAATGAGGCAGAGGAGGAGGCAACACGCAGCAGCGGTGCAGAGACTTGTGGCAGAGGGGAATACCCAGGGCAACACGGGCAGCGACACGGGCAGGAGGTGAGAGGAGAAGGGAGGGACGAGAGAGGGAAGAGAATGGAAAAGACGAGAAGGGAGAGACGGCGAAGAGAAAGGGCGGAAGCAGCCAGTACCAGTGCCACTCACGAGAAACGCGATTGTCTTTCCGCTACCGGTTTTGGCCTTGGCTAGGAGATCAACACCTGATGCAGTAGGCGTGTGGGTGCGTGTGGGTGCGTGTGGGTGCGTGTGGGTGCGTGTGGGGGGGGGATGGGGGCGTAAAGGGGGGGGAAGGATGTGTGTGAGTGAAGAGTGCCAGTGTGTGTGCCCGTGTGTGTGATAGTGTGTGGGAAACATAGAGGGGGGGAACGCGGGTGGAGGGAGAACAAAGAAGGACCCGGGTGAGTGAGCGGGCAGTGAGGGAGGGGGTGCGTGAGTGCACACTCCAAGCCGCATGTGGCATCAGGAAGCACAAAGGGCGCACGAAGCACGAAGCGGGAGAGCGGAGGGACAAAGGGCGCACGAAGCAAGAGGCAGAAGGAGGAGCAGCGAAAGGTAGCATGCCACGGTCACGGCCGCGGGATACATGGCCTTGGGCGGCTGTACGAGTGACGATGGGCGGCTGCATGGTTACCTCCCGCGCCTCTGAGCACAGCGCGAACCCAAAGCCCTGCCGCACGGGGCGAGCAGCGCAAGTGTCATTCCAGAGCCATCCCCAGCACCGTGCCATGTACCTTGGGACGGACGGACGCAGGTAGGGTGCAGTACGGGCGTACCTTGGAGGATGGGGTGCATCGTCTCCGACTGCACCTTGGTGCACAGCTCGAACCCGAAGCCCTGCTTCACGGCGCGCAGCGTGTGCGCCGACAGGGGGAACGAGTCGAACCTGCGGGGGGAAGGGGGCGCAAGGAAAAAGGCAAACAGGCACCGACCGGGGAGTGGAGTTGTGATGGGACTTCAGTGAAGGAGACGTTAGAAGCCAAGGGTGGCTGGTGAAGAACAAATACGCGGTGAGGCTGGGAAAGTGAAATATCGGGGTTGGGTGGGTGGGGGGGGGGGTTTGGGAGGGCTCAGAAGGTGAAGGCGTAAGTGCAAAGAGGCAAGGAGCACAATCTCTTTCACTCCTTAAACCCCAATATTAAAGCGATTTCTCTTTCAAACCTCGGCTGCTCCTGCTCCCAAACACCCCTTTTCACTCGGCCTGCAGCCCCTTTCCTCGTGCATCAAAAGCCTCAAACCCTCAAAGTCTCAAACCCTCGAACCCTCGAAACCTCAAACCCTCAAACCCTCAAACTCTCAAATCCGAGAGTTAGCTCACCTCACGTCTGTGATGACGGATTTGATCGCCTCAAGGTCCACCTCCCGCCTCGGCTGCACCACCACTGGCTCCTCCTGCTGGTGATGCTGCTGGTGATGCTGGTGATGCTGCCCTCCCTGCTGCTGCTGCTGCGGACCCTTCCCCTTCGGTCCTATCCTTTCGTGCTGCTGCCTCGGCTTCGACCTCTGACCGCCACCACCACCGCGCCCACCACCACCACCGCCACCACCGGCATCGCCATCAGCGCCCCCTCTGCCGCCACCACCGCCGCCAGCGCTGCTGCTTCCGCCACGTCTACCTTGCCTTGTCCGCACGCTAATTCCAGAAGTAGCAGCAGCTGCAGCGGCAGCAGCAGCGCCGCCAGCACCACCACAAGCAGCAGCAGCACCAGCAGCAACGGGTGCCCCCAGGCCTGAGGCACCCATGCCTGCTGCTGCTGACACGTTCGGCCGTAGCCGTGCCTTCTTCGCGCGAGCGGCCTCGGCGCCGGCCTTTGCAGCGCTGGCAGATGCGGCTTCCATTGACAGAGTGCGCTTCAGAACGGCAAGAGGAGGGTTGAGGGTTTTGGCGGAAGACGCGGGGACCGGGGCCATGGAGGTGCGGAAGTGCACGCCGCGACTTGCGGCGGGTAGTGCGCTGGCAAGGGACGACCCCTTGCAAATGGTCTGCCTGTGGTGCAGGGGAGGGGATGGGGGTGGATATTGGGGCGAGAGGGGGGGTCGGGGGAGAGAGGGAGAAGAAATGAGCAAGTGAGGGCAGGAGGGAAGGAGGGAGAGTGAGAGCGCGTGGATCAACGAAGTACAAACCTTGAGGGAACAGTACGGACGAGAGAGAGGAGCAAAAGAGAGAGCGAGAGGTAAAACTCCGAAGCCCAAAACCCTCGCCCTTGAGGGAACAGTACGGACGAGAGAGGAGAGCGGGAAGAGAGACGTAGAGCAAGAAAGAAAACTAGGAGAGAAGGCAGGAGACGGGAGCGGGGCAGGCAGGGAGGATCGGGGAGGAAACCACGGGGGCATGAAACCCGGAGCCCGAAACCACGGGGTTCAACTCGCTACGTCATGATTCTGATCCAGCGAAGGACGCTTCTACACGCATGTTTCGCTGGATCGAACGGAAGGAAAGATCACGGTTTGCGAAACGACAGAGCGATCCGTGAGGGACGAACCGAGAGAGGCGAGCGAGAAAGGACGGGAGGAAGCGCGACGTCATGAACCCTGTGCACCGCTTCTCGGTCGGTGGCGAAAGAAGAGAAAAACTAACTCTCCGTGCGGCGATAATTTCGTCGAAAACCCCGGGCTAAGAATTGTGATGTCGAGCAACAGCGAATGCGACAAGATTGGTCTTCTGCACTTAGCTGGCAGAGCACGCCAAACCCGTCGCAGGGCAATTGGTTGCAGCTATGGCTGACTCGCTGAGCAGATAGAATTCAGGATCACTCACGGCGTTCAGATCTCCTAAACTAGAACCAGATAGAATTCAGGATCACTCACTCCGCCTCACCTGCGTCCAGTGATCAGCCGAGCGAGGGAGTCCACTGGAGATCAGCTGAGAAATGAAGGCCGAGCCGAAGGAGATTTATTGATGACGAAGTGAGTAAATTGTAATGAGTGTTTCACCAGAGTAGCGCGGAATCGAATGTCGAGGTTCAGAATAATAGAATGTGGTACAATGGAATGAAGAAGCAAGATATAGGAACACCAGAGCGATCCTAGCCGCGTGATCAAACAGGTTTGTAGAAGGCATCCGAGGACGCGGAGCGCTTCGAAGTGACGCGGAATGGTTCGGCATGGCGTGTACGGGACGAAGCTAGGGCAGGAGTCCGTGCCGTATGGGTTGGGGTATGCGTTAGCGGTGTGGCGAGCTAAGAATTGGAAAATTCCTTACACTACACCCCCTCTAGCGAAGGTGGTCTATATTTGCGACGTGCTTGCAGGATAAATAATCCCGGAGTATAGTAGGTGACTGTACTTGTACCGAGGGAACCCACATGTCGTCCTCGCAAGTACGATGTGTCCATCATATCAGAAAGTCAACGTCTCGTCCCTGACCGTTGATTCTTAGGTGGTGGCTGAGGATCTTCGCTGGTTCGATGAGTGTCTCTTCGACTGGCCGTAGATCCTTGGCGATCGGCTGTCGGGCGACGGTTGACGTATCGGTGACAAAATGTCAAATGAGGCTGACGTGGAAGGAATGATGAATATTCCGTAATCCCCCGTATATAACACCCTATGGTGGATATTAAAATTCACTAAAAATATGACAGGGTCTTAACAGTGGCCCGGAAAAATATAGTGCCCATGTGTTATGTAAAATGCAATTTGAATTTGAGTGTTTTAAGGCTTATACAGCTACCAGTTCTTGTTCAGACGATGTTGGCGATATGAATGCAGTTGCAGACGTGTCGAATTCGATATCAGCACGACCAGGCGTGGCCAATCCCAGACGGCCGTGCCTGCCAGCGGTAAAAATGCAGCCACAGGCTGCCAGCGCAGGGTAAGAACGGCTGACCGCGCGGTGGATGCTGCCAACGCAGCAGACGTGAGGGAATATGCCCTTCCAACTTGGCATATCGAACCTGGCATGCAATTGTGTTTCCGGTTTGCGAAAGACCGTGCGCGCTCCGGGCTGGGGTTCCAACCACGTTTCTTGCTCATCCCTTTCTTACCGCAGCGTTCTTTTTCAGTTCTGCTTTCGTTTCTCGACACAAAACCCGTCACGATGCCCGGGCCCTCTAACAGAGGCTGGGGCACTAGTCCCTCGTCTAGCAATCTCCCTTTCAGGTGCTGCCATGGCAGCGCGTACGTTTAGCGGCCTCTCTGTATTGCGCACCCATCGTCCTCTCTCCGGCAATCAGTTCCTACTCCGTCCGTTCTTGTCGATTCCCCCGGCACCACCTGCACCACCTGCTCCTCCCGCTCCACCTGCGCCACCTGCACCTCCTGCACCTCCCGCACCTCCCGCGCCTCCCGCTCCCTCGTCGCCGAATCCCAGGCGTCCGCCTGAATGGGACAACTCATGGCAAGACGATGAGGACGATTTGTACTGGGAGGAGGCTGCCGACGGAGAGCCTGAGCCTCTGCCGACACTTCCTCGAGTTGCTATTCCGTCTTTCCCTCAGCCTAGGCGTCGTCCCAACATGCCTCGCGTTAACCGTGATGCCGCACCTCCCTCCCCCAGAAATCGCAGGACGAGGCGCAAAAGAGTCTCACGCACGGCGGCCGAGAAGCTCTTCTGGTTGCGCAAGCTTGACGACGACCCTAATCTATCCAACCGCAAGCTCGCAAGGATGGCGGATGTCCAGCCCTGTCAGATTCGCGAATGGAAGAAGAACAAGGTGAAACTGGCGGCGGCTGCTGGCTGCAGGCGTCGTCTCGTCGGCTCAGGGCGCAAGTCGAAGTTTCCCGACATGGAGCGCGAGCTGTACAAGCGCTTCCTCTCCCATCGCGCGCGTGGCTTGGCAGTCTCCATCAACTGCCTGCAGAAGTGGAGTCGGAAGTACATGAAGAAGCGGCACCCTGGAGTCGATTGGCGAGCATCGTCGCGATGGACCTTCCGTTTCCGCACGCGCTGGGGTTTGACGAGGCGTGTGAAGACCAAGATGGGACAACGCCTGACATCCGGTAAGTTTCATTTGCTCCGAGTCTTTCCACGCCGTTTTCCTTGCATAATTGACTCTTACTCTTGCGGGTTCTTCCCTGTCTGCCTGTTTTTTGTTCTTGATTTTTTTTGTGCTTGCAGATTGCGAGGCAAAAGTGGAGAAGTTTTGGGAGTTTGTGCGTCAGATGCGGAAATTGAACTGCTACCCCGACGACTTGATAATCAACGCCGACCAAACACCTCTGTTTCTGGAGATGCCGCAGGAGACAACGCTAGAGGTCCGCGGCTCAAGGACGGTGCACGTGCGCACCGCCGGCTACGAGAAGGAACGGCTGACCGTCATGCTGGCGGTCACTGCTGCTGGACAGAAGCTGAAGCCGTATGTCATATTCAAGCGGAAGACCGTGCCCAATATCCGAGTCCCCCCTGGTGAGTTAGAATGTTGTTGTTTGATTGACTCTGTTTATCGTAATCCCCGTCCCATCCGTGTTGTTTTCCTCTTTTTCTTGACCCCGCCTGATATGCTTGTGTCTTTTTGTGTCCAGGCATCGTCATCCGTGCGCAGCCGAAAGGATGGATGGACGAGGAGCACGTGAAGGACTGGATCACAGCAGTGCTCGTCCCGTTCCTTAAGCGAATCCCTGCGAGGCGTGGCGGTCGGGCGAAAGCCCTCGTCGTCCTCGACAGCTACAAAGGGCACCTGACCGAGGGCGTGTCAGCCGCGATGCGCCTCTTCAAGCTCTCCAGGGCCGTGATTCCTGGCGGCTGCACGCCGATCGTCCAGCCACTCGACGTGGCTATCAACCGCTGTGTGAAGGCGCATGTGAGGCGGTCCTACACAGGTTGGTTTGAAGAGTATGGCTGCGATTCAACAACACCCGCAGGTGAGGTCGATGCCGCTCTGTGCCTGCGTTCCGCGCTGCTTTCATTACGTGTGCTCCGTCGTATATATGGCCATTCAGACGCTCGGTCTTTTTATCAATTAAGTGTTTCCGACTCTTAAAGACTGCCTTCTCTACCGCCTTATCTCTCTGCGCCCCCGCCAGGAAACCTCAAGAAGCCCCCCGCGGAGGTGGTGCTACAGTGGGTCGCAACCGCATGGGAGGCCGTCCCTGCCGAGCTCATCCGAAACGCCTTCAAAACCTGCGGCATCTCCACCGACATTAATGGGACGGAGGATGAACTCATCCTCGCCCATATGAAGGACAAGTCAGATGTGGAAGTGATGGATGATGTGCACGCGGAAATGGAGGAGAGCGGCGAGAAAAACCCACTCTACGAAGCAGACTTCGTCGAGCCCGCCGCAGACGAGCTGTCCGAAGATGACGACGACGACGACGACAGCGACGTGCCCCAAGCTGCATCGACGGCATCCGGCTCAGCCGAGGTAGCAGAGTCCTCCGCTATGGCGGAGGCGCGTCTGACGGCAGCAGCAGCAGCTACTGCAGCAACAGCGACGGCCGCGACAGCAGCAGCAACAGCAGCAACGTCGGCAGCAGAAACATCTGCGACCAGTGATGACTCCTCTGAGATGGCGCCAGCGGCAGAGGTGCTTGCTGGGCTCGCGGCCTCCAACTGGACAGACGACTATGACTGGGATGACATAGCGTCCGACGATGACGACGTGGAGGCGTGGCACGCTGGCGACGAGGACGACGAAGAGGATGAGGAGTACAGGTATTAGACTGATTTCTGACTGGGCTTGAGCCCCTCTAGATCTTGCAGTAGTGTTTAGATGTAGCTTCAGTAGCTAACTCTTAACTAGAATTTGAGGCCTGTAAATGCAGCTGTTATAGAATCTTCCATGATGTACTTCAATTCTTAATATTGTATCGATTACAGTAGCAAAAAGGTGGGGGGTGTTATGTAAAATTCAAGGTCGAAAAAGCGGGTGCTCTCCTAAATGCACCCTATCATAAGCTCTGCCCCGCATAAACCACCCACGGAGTGACTATTCCGGCGGGTGTTATATACGGGGGATTACGGTTCCAATCGTCGGGCAGGCGGACTTGGGCGGTCACTGGCGTGAGCATTTTGATGATCTTGAAAGATCCATAGTAGCGCGGTCGAAGTTTTGACGGTTTCTGCAGGCGAAGTTTTTTTGTATCGAAAAGGACTAGTTCTTAGAAATTTAGGATACTAGCCTAGCTAGGAAGCTAGGATGCACGGAATGCTGCCATGGAATGGCGTGAGGAAAGTAGATCTAGGAGCGGGAGAGAGAATGTCGAGAAAGAAGAGTTACGATTAGGAAGAGAGAGGGGTACAAGGAGGGGATTGTACCCTCTACAGAAAGGTTCAGTAACAACTACCAAGCCTATTAATTATATATAACTTATATAATCTTAACACACCCCCTAGGCTTGGTAGTCACACACCCACCCAACACCACACACCCCTGACACCCTTACACCCCCATGCTCGTAAGCAGCCGGGCATCTACCCCTCGTGCGTGACGTGGTGACATCCCTACCCGCTGAGAGGCAGCAAAGGCAACGGCCGCGACTGAGGGCTCTCGGCGGTGTGTCACGGCCCGGCGACGACCGGGTAGGAGTCAGCAGCTGCAACAGGAGCAGGAGGAGACGTAGGGGGAAGGGAGAATGGGGGGGGGGGGGGGGGGCGGTGGCGAGTCTTCAGCGACGCGCCATAAATGGCGCGGCGCTTACTGGAGGGAGGACGGTGTACTGAGCGACGCCCGTGGCTGGCGAGCGGGCGGTAGGTCCGGCGGCGCCACAGACGTCGCTTGGCCGGCCGCAGTCCGAAGACGCCGCCGCCGCAGCATTATGACGTCGCCACGGTGCGGCGTCGATGCCACGGCGGGACGTCGACGCCATGCTGACAGTACGACGCCGACGCTGAGGGCTGCGTCGACGTTACGCGTTGGGGCTGCGACGGCAGCGCCACGACGACGGTTACACATGGCCGCGACGGCGGCCCGATGACAACGAGG